CCAACCTTAATGATTCTGTGACTCCATGATTCTATGTCAGGTTTCATGAAATGAGTTGTGATGCGTGCTAATCAAACTCAGTTCCTCAAAAGCTGCTACCACTAGGAAGCTTATCTTCAGTCAGATGAATAGATACCTTCAGGGATTAACAAGAAAAATTCTCCAGTGAGTTAAATGTAGCACACCTCTATCCTGAAATGACCTTAACAAAAAAGAAGGCAAGTTGATTAGAATTAATTCTTAAAGTTTTAGACACTTTCAATGAAAAGAACTCATTTTCTGGGCAACTCAAGTTGTTGCAGCCTATGAATTGTTTCCACTAACAGAGCCTTTTCTTTCAAGAAAACTTTACAGAACACCCACACCGACTCCAACAGTTCAGCATAAGAACTGTATCAGGATAAAACCCTCATGTACCACATAGTCCACAATATATTTGAAGGAAGAATACAGTAAGACCATATCAAGTGATACATTATTTTTCATTTAGCCTAGACATACAATTTTTCATCTGAGAATCTTTAGTTAAAGCCACAACACAGTCACTGGATATTGTATTTACTCGATTTCACAATTAAGTCAAAATCCTATGTAAAACTTACTCAGTCTTTTCAAATAATCCTTATAGTTAGTAATGCTTGAATGAGTTCTAATTGAGGAAATACTCCAATTACATATTGCATAAGTCAGTATGCTAAAAACTAAAGTTCAGTAAAACTGGTGAAACAAGCTTAAATTTATAACTGAAGCAAATTTATATTTAGTATTAAGTTATAACACAAATAAACCTCTTAGTGTACCTGTTTACACTGAAGAGTTCACAGAGAAATGCAACACTTTCACAGTTACTTCAAGTCATCTTAAATAACTTCCATTTAAAAACACTTTTATGGTAGCATTCCATATGTCACAATTAATTCTTTGTTCTTCAGAAATATGCAGGAATGAGAATTTTTACTCTGCCCTCAAATGTAATGTTACAAAAAATTCAAACTGGTCACCTTGAACATTTTATAGTAGAAGCATGCTGAGAGGCATGTTGAACTGAAGGAGAAGCCAGCTAAAATAAGGTTACAGAATCATAATTTTTCTAAAGAATGCATGTCTTCTCTGTTAAAAATATTCCAGGAAAAGGTGTCTACCATGCTTAGCAGAACTTGTTCATATTTTTTAAAAAGAGCTATGAAGGGACAGTCAGCCATAACTAGGTTTGGGACTGCTCTGCAGTATGGGCTAAGCAGATGCTCAAGACAGAGCAGCCAGCTGTCCACTAAGCAAGAGTTATAGGCTGTGAAGGATGAACAATTTTTAGTCCAGTAGGTGCAAGAAAATACCTTTTACTCTATTGTAAGCTATTTCCAAATTTATCAGGTTGCCTGAAGAAAGAGTAAATATCCCATCTCAGTACCTATGTACATATGCAGGCATTGAAGCCCATTTCACAAACATCTAACTACTTTAAAGCTTAGTGTTCTTTCAGCTACTATTCAAGTCACTGGGCTTGCTGAATCTGAAGCTGCATTTAACACCATTTACGGGAAATTTAAATAACACGAGAAAACTACAAATAAGTGTCACTATGAGGAAGTAGTTACCTTAACTGCTTCCTCTTAAATAAAAGTGCAAATGTACTAAATGATTTCTTTATACATTCTTGGCTTTACCCAAGGTATGTAGTAGTAAAACATCATAAAATTGGTAACACTACAATAAAAGCCATAGACACAGACATTGGGATACTTTTTCTTTGCCAGGTGAGGTAAACATGCTCTTCAGTGTGGCAAAAATATCTTCTTCTGTGAAACAACACTGCTCACTTCCACTGTCTGGTTCTCCCGATTCACCTCCACTCCAGTAAGAAAAGTGATGATTTGCAGTTTTGATCTATTGGCCATGCTCTTTGTAGCTCCTCTACTGACATGAAGAGGTCCATGGCAAGGTTTCTTCAGTTGGCAGTGGCTGTGCACTTAAAAGAGGGCAGAAGATTCTGGTGCACATACCAAACAGATAAAATAGTTAGCAGAGTTGCATGTGCAGCAAAAAAAAAATAGAGAGACATCACTAAGTCTTTGCAACCTTCTCTAAATTTAAACAGTGCTACACCCATATTTCATGGGTTTGTGAATGAGTAATTTTCGAAAAGAGGCATTAGTGATAGTTCCATGTAGAAGATACAGTAAGAATTGAAAATCTAATTATGGAAGGTTTGTATCACATTTTACCACCTGCTCTTCTAAGTAAGAGTTATAATTAGTGTACACTGCTTTTACATTGTGTTATTTAATATTTTAAGGCCACTACCTTAATCTGGAAGCATGACTTCTACGTAAGAGTACATTGAACAAGATTGACATTACACTACACTACTTTTTTAAAAAGTCTTTTTTTTTTTTAAACTTCATTGGACTTCTTGAGGAGTAAGCCTAGTATCTAAAGGCAGATTATGTCCTCAAGCATGCACAAAACACTTTCACCTCAATATCACTATAGACTGTCCATAAAGAATTTAGCATGTGTACAATTAACAAAAAAACCCAACTAAGCCCTCCCTCCCAACTAGAAAATGACTAGCTAAACAATGACACAGCCCCCTAGCCCTACAACACTGTTACCCATTCTTAGTTTTCTTTGCCCAGTTATGCTGCCTTCCGGTAACAAACAGGGAAGCTAATAAATAATGGGGGAAACATTTTCTTTTTGTGGTGTATTTGCATGTAATTTTCAATGCCACCTTTAGATGAATGCATTCTTTAGATATTAAAGAGTAGCACCCTTTATTTCTGACTAACAGACAGAGCTGCCTATTCTAATAACTTGAGATGGATTTTGGGATAGTTTCCTGGGAAAGCATTTCTAAAGCACTCAAAATTTTTCTGACACAAATTAACTAACTGTAACCTTGTTAAAATTATTAGATGAACTCCAATACATGTTTTATGAGGGAGGAATTTTAAATTGTAACAACGTAATTTCACCAAAAAGAATTTCAAGGCAACCTTGCAACTAGCCCCTTCCATTACTTATATCAAGTTTCAAAAACACTGTAACAGCACAAGTTTACTGAACAAATTATCCAATCTAGGATAAAGGCTCCTATTTTTGTCTAACCACCAAGTTAAATAAAGTCCCCTCTTCAGACAGCAGACCTGGATTCAACATCCTATAATCGTGCAAACAAAACAAAACAGTAAACTACAACCTTAGATTGCAGCTGCTGTGAAATTAAGCCACATCCAGGACACCAGCAGCCACTAACTGCCTCGAAAGCCAGTCCAATCCTTCATAAAGTCCTGTACCACTTCGGGCATCACAACCCTGAATATACCAGCTACGGCCACAGCAGAGTTTGTGGAGACTCAGCAGTTCAGTGATTTCTTCCACTGAAAGTGCACCTGCTACATCCTGCAACAGAATCAGATACAAAGACACAATTATTCTTCTGTATAATGTTTGAAGCACTTTATTTTTAACCAATGGGTTAGACTGAAGCTACAGATCACATAAAAGCTTTACAGACACAAAAGCCAAATAAAACTGTTACGCATTTACTACTTGTAACCATAAAACAAAAACTTGCTGAATCTACTAAGTACTCTAGCATCACTTAATTTATCAGCATTAAACATCAGGAAAACACCTACATTTTTTGCTTCCCACATTACCATTCCCGATCCATAGCAGAGGGTTCAGAAAGTTGGAATTTGATACACAAACTGAGGAAAAGAGTAACAGAGTGAAAAAAAATCACAAGTACCTGTTTATTAGCAAAGATCAAGAGCAAGGCATCCCGCAATTCCTTCTCTGTTAATAGTTTTGCAAGTTCACTGTGTGCTTCACTGACCCTGTCTCTGTGACTGCTGTCAATGACAAACACCACCGCTATGAAAGAAAGAGAGAAATGTTTTACACACATTCAAATATAAACTCTGTAAAATTAGCTTTCAACTTACACAATTCTTTTTTTCTAGCTGTCTTCTACGTGAAGTTTCTCAGCAGTGCGCAACTTCAATTTCAAATCCAGGAGAACTGAGAAATGCCTTACATACCACTATACTTTTGACAAAAATCTAGAATTCATCCTAAAACAGGGAAAAAAAGAGTCTGAAGTTTCCTGCCTAGTCTAACATAAAGGTTGTGATATTTTAACTGCTTAGGCCTAAAGCCAGATTTATTATGTATGGGTTGAGTATCTCAGTGTAAACCATTTCTTGATCCATGTATACCCAATCAACTCCCACATGACTGTTCCAGTTTCCCTTAACTGGCTGTAAAATCTACAGGTTCAGCCAAATCGGCACAGCTTCCTTCAGCTACTGACTACACAATCCAGAGAAGATTGCCATGGGCCCGACACAGCAGCAGTAGATTTTACTATCCACTACAGACAGTAACCAAGATGCCAGAAAAACTGGAGTCAGGGAAGCAGAGCTAGAGGACAGAATTTAAACTCATGTTTTTTGCAAAGAAAAAACCCCCAACACCAAAACTAAACAAAACTTACTGGAGGTACGGACCAGGTTAACTGCTTAGACTTTCTTTCCAACATACAATTCTTCAAGATATACATGATTCCATGCCACTGGTGTTTACATGGTAAGTTTTAAAAGGACAACAGAAATCCCGAAATACAGTTTTTAAAAGTTTGAAAAGATGAACAATTTAGAATGTTAAAGTTTGCAGTGAAGGCTGAAATAATGCACAAAGTGGAGCACATAAACTTATGTTTGTCGTTCCTAAGTATTTCAGATAATCATGAATGAATTAAAGAAGAGGAACCCCTTTCTAAATTGCAAAACAAATGTAGAGGATTTACAGAAGGACAGCATGAATTTCTAAGTCGGCACCATTTCAGAATCAGTAATCTAGTCTATGATCAGATATTACACTGCAATACCAAGTCAGAAGTTACAGAACTCTGTAGAATTTTTTTAAGTTGCCAGCTAAAGGCTCCTAAAGACTGAGTATTTTCATTTCAAGTGCTATTTAAATTTCATACCTGGCAAGTACTACTTCTTGCTATCAAAACTTTGGAATGCTGCACCTTGTCTAGCTGTCAGCTAGAGCCAGTTTAACAGAGATTCTAATTTTGTTTGGCTCCATGAACTGCCTGATGGATTTATGGAGAATGCCTTTATCATCCAGCAGACACTGTGACCAACTGAATTGAAATTCCTTAGCTCATTAATTTAGCAACTGTACTTTGATTAGATGAAGAATTTCCTACAGTTATAAATTATTCTTATTAATAATCTTTTTGGCTCTGAAATACAAGCTAGAAGACAAAATACAGTTCAAAAGTTGTATTAGTCTCACCTTGTGTATTGAGATAATAATGTTTCCACAAGGGCCTCAATTTGTGCTTTCCTCCTACATCCCAAATAGTAAATTTCAAATTCTTGTATTCTACTGTTTCAACATTAAAACCTAGAATAAAAATATTAATGTTTTATAGCCTTGTTCTGTATGAATATAAAATAATCAAATTCTACATGTAAGTCAAACATTCAGAAAAAGCATTACATTTAAATTGTTGCTACTAACCTATTGTTGGAATTGGCTGCATGAATTCATCTTGCTTTAACTTAAACAAAATAGTTGTTTTGCCAGCTCCATCTAATCCTAGGGTGACAACCCGAATTTCCATTTTTGGTCCAATATGTACCCTGTTGTCCTGGGAGAAACAGCATACATGAAACAAGCACAAGTTGAGAAAATTCAAAGTAGAAAACCCTTATGTTTAAGACACTTGTCACTATTTGCAAAGTGATTAAATGGAATGGACTCCAAAAATACAAGGCACAATCACCAATCACCTCCAGCAATAATATAAACCAAAATATCCAACAATCTGTGTACTGAAGCTGTAACTTCTGCCTTAGAAACGCAGCCAATCCATGCTAGTACGTCTGTACTTGATAAAATGTGAAACTCTTTCATCATGCTTGGCACGAGGAATGTTCATAGCAATTAAGTTAGAATCCTCTGACCAGAGTGCTCTCTCTGGGTTTTGTAGCTTTTCCACTATGTTTTGTCACACTGTTGATGTCCCCACCTACAAAACTATTTCCTTGCTGGAGACTCCATAGCTATGCCTCTTCACCTCAAGCCACTTCCAATCCTTTACCATATTACAACAGCAACATTATTAGCATTAAACAGTAATCTGAAATACTGAAGAAAAACAAAAAAACACCCCCAAGTCTTGCTTGGAGGCAATGAAAGAGAATCAACTTCATATTTGTTGTTTAGACCAAGCCACCATGAGTACTGAAGGAGGTAATGCTAACAATGCAATCAAATGGTATTACTAATATAAAGCAGTAAACTGTAAATTGTAAAATAAACAACATAGGCTAAGGTTACTATGTATTCCTGAAACATATTTTGAGGTACTTAGAAATACTACCTTGACAAAATACCAGAGTTTCAATCATCAGAACTATGTGGCAATGCATTTGTTTTCTTGCAAAACCCAGACAGTATTGTGCTGGGCAAGCAATACATGAAAACCTGTGTCTACCGACACACCTTTTTATTTCTTCTTGCATTAGAAATGCTATTTATTGTGTGCAAAAATGCTACAATCTCTCCTGGTACAAGACCAACATGCAGCACTGTGACTGGATGTGTAAACATCTACATCATGTCACTTGAGATACATATATATGTATATATACACACACACACAAACATAGGATCCATTATATAGCTGTGTTTGTCATCATGACATGCAACTCCATTCTCCTGTGTGTCACAGATGAAGTAGCATACTGCCAGGATAACCAATATAGATTAATTCAATTACTTTATCCTATTGCAATCTCCAAAGAGAGTAAAAATACCTTGAGAAACTGCTTTCTGAAAAAATTTAAATATGCAAATACCACAATGCAAAAGTCAGCAACATCACAATTCTAAGTGTAAAAGTCAGATGAAAAGTCCGTCTCATCTAGCGTGTTGTCTGAAACTAGGTAAAGGTGGATACATGAGAAAGTAAGGAACAGAGAAATCACATAGTGATAACCTCCCTAAATACCCATCCCTAACAGCTTGCAGCTCATGGACCTAGTGAGCCAGCAGTGCAGTTTCTGCAACTAACAAATCTTGATGTATTACTCATCTATGAATCTGTTTGTTTGCTTCTTGAAACCACAGACATTTAGGGCCCAGAATATCCTTGGCATAGAACTCCACAGGCTAACTATGTGTTGTGAAAAAAGGTATTTGAGTCTGTGAAATAAGTTGTACAAACTGAACAGTTTCAGTGCTACAGCTTTGATACTACACACGGCAGATGCTTGAAAACCAGAAGACTAACTGAGTATTTGAGATCTGGAAAATAAAACATTGAGACTTATTCGCTTTTTAATAACTTTCCTCTAAGGTCTAGACTTTTGGATTCAGAGCTAAAGTTGCCAAATTCAGTGACAACATTGCAACACAGCACGTTATCAGAAAGGGTCATCTCCTTCTGGAGAAGAAAAACCTGTGGGCAGATTCTTGACAAGCATGTCAGCAGGAAAGGTGCAGGCAAAGAGAAAGAACACAAAGAAGTATGCAAAAGGCACTGAAGAGCCTAAAAAATGCCATGCCTCCAGCACCCTTTTCACACTCAAGCTTCAGTTCAGATTTTGTCTAAAATTTCTGGGGATGAATCTCTCCAATTCTTTGTACCTGAAAGGAAGGAAAAGAGGCAGCTGCTCTGGATAGAGCTGCTAAGTTTACAGGTTTCTTGCAGCAGGCAGCACCCTGGCTATGGCCAGAGCTCGCTGACAGTGAGCCAGCCTGGCCATCCTCTCAGGGGTCCACCAGAAGTGCCAGTCTCCTCTACAGCTCCCACAGCTGGAGGACAGAGGCAGTGCTGGCCTGTGCAAATTTCAGCATCAGGGAAGTGGATGAGATTAAATGATTTTGTCAAATTCAGCCACCCTATTGCAGTTTGCCTTCTGTAAGGTTTAGAGTGAAAACAGGTTGTTCTCAGTATGTTTGTACTCTCTCAGAAGGAATCAAAATGCAATCTGTGATGGACATCAAATTTCCACTTTTTGTGTGGAAAAGTGACTTCCTGTCACTTCAGGAAGAACCTTGCAAGAAAAGCTCCTACGAGTCAGAAATAATTGACTATTGATGATCACAGCTAGAAATTGACAGATGAAAAAATATCTCTAAGTAACTATATCAGCATCTTTAATCAAAAGTGTTATTTAAAAAAATCTGGCCAGTAAAACCCCTTTGTGTCTGCATTTCTTGCAAGTGCATAACTTGATAGCTTATTTAAAAACGGGTAACCTGTGACTTTTGTTCAAGTAAACCTTAGTGTTTTCTTAAATCCCAGTACAGAAAGTGCATAAGAAAAACCCACAGAACTGTGATGTCTTGTTTTTTGTCCTTGTTAAGAAATTTGTTGACGTGACACAAGCTGTATGGAGGTTTACTTAAACATAGTGTTAAGTGCTTTCCCTCTGGTAGATTGTCTTCTTGGGTACTCTTGGTGTTGGTATGTGTTAGCAGTTTCCCATACTTGGCTTCAAAATTGACAAGTAAGTGCTCTTTATTATCTCAGGTGCTATTTTCTTAATCATTTTCCCACTCTCCAGTATGTACACACAAGTATTTAGGATGACCAACTGCTATTTCTGTATGTAACACTCCACAGCCACTGCTCTCATTTGACCAGGACAAAACAGCAATCTTTCTCTTCAAATAAGGATCACACTCCTGTATAAGGAGCCATTTCCTTGCCAACAAGCTGAAGTACATGAAGACATCTCAACCTTATTTGGTTAAAGTCCTCATAAATACATAGGTAAAGCAGGATCACTTGGAAACAATATATTAACAACGTTTGGGAAAAAGTTATTATACACTAACATACTTCTTGAAAGATTTTCAGCATCTTGTCCTGGAATTGTCCTGGAATTCTCCAAATCCTCCCTTCAGAGTTTTATATGTGGCATTTCCCTTGATAGTTTAGGAGGAGGAAACAGCACTGTCCACGTTTTTCATGTCATCAGTGAAACAAAAAATGTGGATAAAACCTACTCACTTTCAATAGTGAAAAGGACTTCTCCCTCCCCTCCTTAAATCTCCACAACCTTGACCGGATATGGGATGTTACTCTGATCTGGTACAGTTTGAAATACTTCAATTTTATAATGGATGCAGCCTTCAGCGTATGAGAGTTCCCAAGAAAGACCTTTCAGTCATATGATAACGGTTTACAGTTTTTGATCTGAAGATTTTATTTTTGTCTGAAATCTGTTGCCAGGCACAGACCTTTCAGGTACAAGAAGCCTCACTACAAGTCACAACAGTGGCAATGAGCATGACAGTATTCTAAAAAAATATTGTGTAGAAAGAGAGCTTTTAACTTTGTCAGAAGTGACAAAACATAAAAAGTAAGAACTCATGTAAGTATTTTCACCTTACTTTTTCATGGCTGCTGCTGTGTTTGTGAAAAATGACATTTGCTTTTGCAATTTGAAGTTCAGAATCTAAGCTACGGAAGATTTCATAAAACCACCAATTTGTCACAGGAGAAAAACAATAGAAGCCCTGTTTCTTTCTAAAGAAAGCCGAAATGTAGAGACACACTGGAAGATTTCGGGGTCTCCATGCCGAGATCTATTTCAGATCTCCTATTACAGCTTTGCTGGCTGCAATCATTCTCTTTCCAAATGCTCAGCAATTCACAATCAAAATCTTCTGAGTCAGATTAACAGCTCCGTAAGGCAAAACCAGCCATCAACGCTGAATACACAGAATGCAATTCATTATCTGTGAAATGTGAATGCTGCTTTTTTCACGGAACAATGGGATTTTGCAGAAGAGGTCTCCCTGACCCTACTACTCTCTTCTGAATAGGGAAGGGAGGAGCAGAAGTGAAAATGTTGCATTTATTGATCTGACAGTTATTACATGAAAATTCAAATCTACTGCAGTTACAAAACAAATTATTTGGAAGAAAATGAATTTCTGACATCAACAAGGACTGAGACAGAATGCCCACAGAAGCATCCATTTCCTTATAGTAAAAGCTTCAAGGGCAACAATTAAATCTTCAGTTTCATCTCAGCAACAATAGATCCTATTGATCTTTCACCCATTCAGAATGAAAAAAATCCATAAATCAAAGTACTACTTTTCTTTAGAGTTTCAAAACCTTCCTATGTGAAAAGTATCACAATTATCAAACTCCAAATAATTTCATCCCTTTCAAAGAATAGGTAGTATGGAAATGATATTAAAGCAATTAAAACCCTACTTAGACGATGAACTGTGTCTAAACTGTCAGTGAATACAAAGCAGCTATAAGACAAATTATCATTTAACAAATTGAAAGAAATACATTATTTTAACATTATAAACTGAAATTTATAATAGCATTATTGCATTTGAAATAAAATAACAAACATTCTGCAGAAGTTATGCTTTCCTAATGAAAAAGCCAAAAATATGTGGAAAAACAAAGAATAGATTCCTGGTCTGAGTTGAACATACAACAAATCAGGGATGTTTCCAAATAAAGGTGTTTCTAGAATTCACAAATACTATCTTACATATTTAAAAGAAAGCAGTTAAATGTTCAAACAAAGCTACTGATGTAGTCAATGTCAAACGAATGTTTCTCACACTAATTATAACAGCACAGTGGTTTTGTTGCTCAAATACCAGACGGCACTCATCATATGATAAGACAATGTGGCTTTAACTGATACTGAACTGCCTAAATTTGCTGCAACAAATACAGCATCATAATCATAGAATTGTAGAATAGTTTGGGTTGGAAGGGACTTTTAAAGGACAACTAGCCTAACCCCCCTGCAATGACCAGGGACACTCACAACTAGGTCAGGTTGCTCAGATACCCATCCAGCCTGACCTTGAAGGTTTCCAGGGATGAGGCACCTACCACCTCTGTGGGCAACTCATCACACTCATGGAGAAAAATTTCTTCCTTATATCCAGTCCAAATCTACCCTCTTTTTGTCTAAAACCACTACCCCTTGTCCTATGGCAACAGGCCCTACCAAAAAGTCTCCGTCCCCATCTTATAAGCCCTCTTTAAGGACTGAAAGGCTGCAATAAGGTCTCCCCAGAGCCTTCTCTTGTCCAACAACCTCATATACCTCAACCTCTCCCAGCCTTTCTTTACAGGAGAGGTGTCCCATCCCTCTGATCATGAACATATATTAATCCTGCTTTCTTTTAAATTACATTTGGGAATTCATAAAGTATATAACTGTACTTTCAAAAGATTAAGAATACCTTTGTAAAAGTGACAGGTATGCTAGCATCCAGCTGCACGTGATCTGCAAGTTCTGTAAACTGCTGCTGCTGTTTCTGTAATGTCTCTAGCAATCTTGTAATTTCCTGTTTGGCCAACACTACTCTGCAGTCATCCTAAACAGACAAAGAAAACAAAAGCATGCCTTTCCTTTATTAACCTACTTAAAATAACCAAACGCAATGTAAATATCATGGCTGGAAATAAAGCATTTTAAATAGAAATACTCTAGTTAAATAAACGCACATTTACAAAATTGATTTACTTAAAATTGTAATACAAATGTGAAAGCTTTGTCACTCTTCCTTAATAGATACTAAACGGATACTAAAAAGTTCTGCAGTTTTAAAAAACATTTTCTTTTATTTCTTAGTCCTGTAGGAATAAGAATATAAATGATAAGAGACAGTAATGTAATATATAAATAGTATCTATGTCATTCATATATCATTCCAGCAGCTGGAATAAAGCAGCTGCTTTGCAGCACACAGCAATACACTGAACACAAAAAGATCAATATCCACCCATTAATACATCTGACTAACCAACCAGACAGTAGCTCTAAACAAATTATTGAAAAAGTACAAAAACCGCATTAATGAAGTAATTTCTCACACTCAGTTTACGGCTTGCTACATATACTATTTACTTCTTGCTATCACTAAATTAAGTGAATAATGGACCAACCAGACACTCTCATATAGCTACTTTATTCACACATTTAGTATGTTGAACTACCCATATTACAAATGCTACTGAAAGTTATTTAGTCCTAAAACATTTTTTCCTACCAGCCTCGTATGACAACTATCTTCAAACACCTATTGCAACTTTAAAATCCTTCCCATAAATCTTGCAGGCTTTTTGCTTCAGTTTCATCTCTCCTTCCCACTAATCTCACAAACAACCAGAAATTACTCCAGACAAGATAATCATGCCACAGATTTCCAGCAACTGGAGGACTTCATGCTTTTGTACTGATTATCCTTTTCTAACACCCCCTTGTAATGAATACTTCAATCTCAGGTTATATCATTGTTATTTTAACGTTGTAAAGGAAATAAAAAGGCAGAGTACCATGTAACCTTTTCATTTGTAGCCTAAATTTAATTTGCAGTTCCACATATCTTGCCATATTACAGCTCACTTGCCAACCTACCTGTTGTAAGGTCTTTTCACAGTGAAGGCAAGCTGTTGAAACCTGTGACAAGAGGATGGTCATGTCTTCTTGCTGTTGCCTTAGCCAAATCAGCTTCTCTCTCACGTGAGCATCAACAACACTAAGAGCCATTTCCTCCTGACGACAAAGTGTTTCATGAAGGTCAGAAAAATAGGCTCGGACACATGAGCGAGCGTTCTCTGCAGTCCCTGGTACCTACAGTGTTGCAGTCAGGAGATCCAGAGGATTAAGGACACCATTTGATTCCAGAAGTACATCTTTCATTTTATTCCAGTTTTTAACTTATGTTCATATCTGCTTGGCTACATCACAGTTCAAGTCCCAGTTACACAGAAAGCCTTAGCAGCCCTAAGAGTAAGATCTCCAAGAAGTTACTCTAATAACTAAGTAGCTTATTTGTATGTATACACACTTTATTAAAAAAAGACCAGGGAAAAAAGCCTCAATAGTATCACAGCACCTTTGACAGTACTTCAATACCATACTAGCAGTTACACAGCTTTCCCTA